CATATAATAATCAAGATCCCAGAAACCCAACAGAAGAACAAAATACTACAAGCAGTCAGAGAAAAGAAACAAATCACATGCAAAGGAAAGCCCATGAGAATCCAGGAGAGCCTGGGGTGAGGTATTTAAAGCCCTAAAAGAAAACAACCTCCAACCTAGACTGACGTATTCTGCAAAACTAGCTTTCAAACTTGATGGGGAAATAAGATACTTCCAGGACAAAGAACACCTGAGAAACTTCATGAATACCAAACCAGCACTCCAAATAATTCTAAAAAATATCCTAGAAAAGACAGTGAAGGTCACAACTCCATGAGGCCCAACAGAGCAAATCCATCAGGCAAGGCAAGAAATTAAAAGGAGAGGGAGAAAAAATAAAAAAGAGCCAACAACAGGAAAATAACATGACAATGATAAGTCAATACATATCAGTTATAACCATCAATGTTAATGGCCTCAACTCAACAATCAAAAGAAACAGACTGGCAGAATACATTAAGAAGCAAGATCCAACAATATTCTGTATACAAGAAATGAACCTAGTTCAAAAAGCAAATCATAGGCTGAAAGTAAAAGGATGGAAAACAGTTTTCAATGTGACAGGAACCCAGAAAAAAGCAAGGGTAGCTGTCTTATTTGCAGACAAAGTAAATTTCAAACCAAAACTAATTAAGAGAGACGAAGAAGGTCACTACATCCTTGTAAAGGCAACAATACAAGAGGAAGAGAGCACAATCATAAAAACATATGCACCAAATATTAATTCCCCCAACTATCCAAAAAAAATTAAGGGACATGAAAAAACAAATAAGTACTAATACAGTTGTAGTGGGAGACCTCAATACCCCACTGTCACAAATAGACAGATCATCTAGCCAAAAAATCAACAACAAAATACTAGAACTGAGCCAAACTTTTGAACAAATGGACTTAATAGACGTCTACACAGTGTTCCACAGCACAAAATCAGAAAATACATTCTTTTCAGCTGCACATGGGCCATTCTCTAAAATAGGCCACATACTAGTTCATAGAATATGTTTAAGTAAATGCAAAAGAACTGAAGTGACCCCCTGTATATTATCAGACCATAGTGCAATAAAATTGGAGATCAATAGCATAAGAAACTGCAAAGCCCCCACAAACACATGGAAATTGAATAACACTCTCCTGAACAACCAATGGGTCATAGAGGAAATTAAAGAAGAAATTAGAAAGTTTCCACAAGTAAATGAGAATGCCACTACAAAATACAGGAATCTGTGTGGCACAAGGAAAGCAATACTACAAGAGAAATTCATAGCAGTGAATGCCCACACTAGTAAAACAGAGGGAGCTCAAATAAACAACCTAATGCTGAATCTTAAGCTCCTAGAAAAAGAAGAGCAAGACAAACACAAAGCTCATACAAGGGAGCAAATTATAAAGATCAGAGCAGAAATCAATGCAATGGAGACTAAGAGAATGATACAAAA